CTGCAGCTGCAAAATTGGCTGCCTAAACACCGGGACGATACGCGAAAGGGTTCATCTGGCATGGAACTAGGTAAGTTATACTCTTATCATCATAACTTACCGGTACATCTTACTTACCTAGTTACTGCTCGATAGAAGTCAAGGTCTTCTTGTAGGTAGGGTTTACTACTTTATGAGTTGTCTAGAGACATCAAAAGGAACCGTGTTGTGAGCAGGATCGTCCTCGTTGGTTGTCCCAATGCGGACGTAACTTGAGTAGTACCGGCAACTCAAGTCAGCTCCCAGCCGCTTGAACATAGGAAACGGTGACCACCATAACGAGACACCTTGATGGGCTACTCGCAAGACCACGCAACTTGTCTCGAAGTTTGGTACGAGTTAGGACCCCGTCAGAAGTGGTACTGTAGTATACTCCCAGGCAACAGAATACGACCCTTGCCATCTGCAGCTTACGCGCAGCTATCACCCCACACTGAAGCGATACCCACTCCGAGATGCCCTCCGACGCCTTTGTATTCTATAGCGCAACGCTCCCACGACAAGCCCAGCCGGACGAGATGTCACAGACGTCTGCCGCAATCGGCAGCGTGCGCGATATTGGCCTCGTCAGCCTCCGCGGTCTGGACACTCGCCCACCGCGATGGAACGAGGGGGCCCGTATCAGGCAACGCCGCAACAACACCTAGCCCTCGCCTTCGGTACGCTTCTTGATGGCGTCAGCAGCGCCATTCGCTGCCGATAACCAGGTGGCAGTCACCGTCGTCTCGCATCCGTCGTCTGAGGGGCCACGACTACGCCTTACGTATATGGCCTCGTCGATGGTCTGTAGAGCGAGCCACTCAGTAATTGTAGTTGGTTCTCGTAGTGACATTATCTCTATTCCACCTTCCGGCTTCGTGCCGACTTGCGCATACCTCTGCTACACGAAGGTGTATATAATTGACTATCTGCGGCTCACTATGGGTGAAGCTGACATCTGAGTCACAGAGACACGCGCAACTAAACAACCCACACATATACTACATTGGCATACCAACGATCCCATCCATCTCAGTCGGGCCCGTCGTGAGTCACACCGGTGCCGTCCAAGTTGATCTATTCAGCCTTCCATAAGTGAGTAGTAGCTTTTCGTACTGCCTGCTTCTTAAGTTACCTACTTGGCAGTCAACTTCACCATCTGCTGCCTGCCCACCCACCCACGCAAAAGGGCTACCTGGGAGCCTCACGTTCACACCCACACCCAAACACGTTCGGCATCACCACTCCATCCATCCCCCTTGCACCCCCTCAACACCTGACATCAGGGCAGGGTTCTCACCCAACCCACCCACCCACCCTCCCACACACAATTCAAGACGCCTCCCTCCCTCCGACCATGAGCGGGAGCCGGGACGCCCCCAAGCCCGGCGGCACGAGGAGGCCGCCGCCCTTCACGCCCGACTCGATGGCGCTCACGAACCCGGCGCTAATCTGGTCCGCAGTGCAGGAGCAGAAGCAGCTGGAGCGCGAGCGGGAGCAGAAGAAGACGCAGAAGCGGCAGCAGATGCAATCGCCGCAGCAGCGAGCCGACGACGACACCTCCGCCGCCGCCGCCTCCGGCGCGGCGTCGTCGTATGCCGCGTCGACGCGCTCGGGCACCACGACCTACTCGTACGACAAGGACAAGGAGCAGCAGGACAGAGACCAGAAGCAGAAGCCGAAGCGGTCCCTCGGCGACCGGGTCAAGAGCGTGGGGAAGTATTTGGTCACGCCGGGGACCACCGGCGGCGGGAAGGGCGGCGGCAGCGGCAGCGGCAGCGGCGGGTCCGAGGACTACGGCCCGTGGGGCTCGAACCTGAGTGGGCCCCGGCGGGCGTGAGCAGCCGTCCGACGGACGGACGGACGTGACGCGACGCGCGCCGGGCGGGCGCGGCCTCAGGACCGGGCGGGTGGGGCGTTCGGAAACCCAAGGGCCAAGCCCGCGCACACGAACGTTCGACGTGGCAGTCTATTGATGGGTGAGTGGGTGAGTGGCTGGCAAAAAAGGGAGAAGAAAGTCGGGGACCCAAGGGGCTGGGGTTATGGTCAGTAGAGATGGCTGGACTGTAATAAGTTGGGACGAGCTCAATCAGGAGATAAGAAGCAAAGGGGTTGCGGATTCTGGTTTCATTGGCAGGTTGGTTGGCCATCCAATTTGAGGGCTGAGAATATTTATAATCCAAGTCGAGTCTGACTTTACAATACGGCAAATTAACAACTTACCTACCTACCTAATCTTCGCGTTCTGTAAGGACTCGCCATCGCAGGAGAGCCATTGGCGCACGTGCCGACGTCATCAGTCATCCCCATCATGGTCATGGGTGGTGATTGGCAGCAGGGTACGCTCTTCTTCTTCCCTTATCCATGTCGGCAGATCGCCAAAAAAGGTACCTTTTTCAGCACGGCAAGCTCCGCCGTCATTGCACGACATGCCGTTACACGTAGTGGCTTGGACGAGACTCCAGACCCCGACTTGTCTGGCAAACATGACGGAGAGGCGCCAATCTGAAACCTGTTGTTTGCCGTGGTTTGCCAATCCACCTCTTTTCGAGGGAAGCAAGCTGTTCATTATTGTTGGTTGGGCCAGAACCATCGCCCATGAGTTACGGTAGGTACATACCTAGTTATAACAAAGCAAGTAATGAGTAATCTTGCTGCTCTGCGCCTGAAGGCTGAAAGAGCTGCATCAAAGCCGTGCCGCGTAGGGAAGTGAACGACGTCGATCCACGGCTCAGAACAGGGATCGCAACACACTTAATACTTTTACCCTTCCTACAGCCCGCTATGTGCGACTTGAGCTGAACCCCAAATTGCCCAATTGCGCCACAAGTCAAAGTCCGGTGCGTAACCTGAACTGTCTTCTCCCCCTCAACTCCGCCTACCTGCCCCCTCTCAGTCATATACTTGAGGAAACTACCTGCCAGGCGCACCTTCTTCGGAGCACAACAGAAAAGTCAAACGGGAGAATAAACACCTTGGCTGAAAAAGAACACCGAAACGAAAAAGACGGAACAGGACCAAGAAGGGAGACCAACAATCCATTTCACCCATGGACGGATCATCCACCCACCCCACCGCCCCGACGTCGCCCCCCGGGGGCCGGTCCCTCCGCAAGCAGGCCTCGGCCCGCTCACTGCGGGCCCGGGCGTCGGCTCGCTCGCTGCGGACCAAGACGTCCCGACTCTTTGGCAGCAGCACCGCGACGACCGAGGCCGAGACGGTGCCCCCCGTGCCGCCGCTGCCGCTGACCGCGACTCAGAAGCAACAGCAGCAGCAGGATGCGGCAGACGGCGGCAGCGGCAAGGAGGATGGCGGCTCGCCCCCGTCGGTGCTGCGCTGGGACACGGTTCTCCGCGGCCTGACTCATATCCGCGTCTTGTATGTCTCTCTTTTCTTCGTTTCTTTCTTCTTAATCTTCTCCTCCCTTGGTCGACGTGTGTCGGTCTCGCCTCCTCGAATGTGCGGTGCTAACATTGCTGGAGCAGCGCGTGATCTAAATCTCAGAAACAGGGGGAGGCGTGGGGGTGAGGTACGAAAGAGAGCTTGCATTCGGTGGCTCTGTACTGCTGAGCGGTCCCGTTTACGAACGCAATCTGTCAAGATTTTGCGTCCCCGCCTCTGGCACTCACCAAGCTGCCTGGCGTGCTTGGTCTTTCTGACCCCGCTGACTCCTGCGGCGCGCGTCACCGGCCCATCGTCGTGGATGATAAATCTCCTCGCACGGCGGCGAGGTTCGGCATTTACGCATTTCCATTTATTGGGTCTCGGAAGAACCAACACGACAGCACCAGCGGATGGGGGGCTCTTGTGGGCAACTCATTGGGAAGCTCACGCAGAGAGCACGATATGGCGCGAATGCTCGACTTCTGGCCGTGATGGGACAGGAGGACACCAACGAAGACCTCTTGCGCGCTATCCCTGTCACCTTGGAACCCGACTTCCTTGTGCGAATGCAGACGTGTACTGCGTGTTTATGCGAGGAGAGACTTATGTGATAGGAACTGGGACTGCCCGGTTTTCTCTTGTCTGAAAGGGGTTGGCGAGGCTCACCGAAACACTGATACCCAATTTATTCAACGACGACCAGCGGTACCAAGGGTGGAGTAACGGGTCCAAGAGATACAAACATATACCGGTACATTTTTGTCTCCATTCCGATACCTATAACTTCTTTGGCAGCGAGCTTGCCAAATGGTAGAACTGCGTGGCAACGTGAAACCATATGTACCTTCAGCGCACCTCGGACTCGCCTCACTCTTGAAGTGGGAAGGTCTCAGCGGAGTGATCTACGCTGCGGCGCTGTGAGGATTTCGTCAGCGTCGTGGCATAAGGGTTGCGTGGTCTTCTAGTCGGTAGGCCGGCACTTACATGGGCTCGTACAGTATTGTAGAGAGCGCATGTCCCATAGCACGGCGTACCCGCCCGACCAGTCAGCCACTCTGGACCCCCTCTGAGCGGCATCCCAGGTAAATGCAGGTAGCTAAGTCTTCTAGGGACTTGGAGATACGTTTCTCCATGGCAAGCAGGTGATCTGCCATTGGCCGCGGCATCTCGCATCGTGCTCGAACGAGATATTCGAGACAGACGCTCGCCTACTACAGCAAGTCTACAGGAGGCAATCCACCTGGTTTGTGCCCATGGCCGGGAGGAGCTGACAAACCGGCCGCTCACGAAACGCTATCAGAGTTATAAATTTGAGGAATCGGCAAGTGCTAGGCCTGGGAAGCGGCGACGCTCATCAGAATCGTTGAGGAACTCTCAATTGTACAATTTCTCTGCCCTATCTGTCGCAAGACATGGAAGGAGCTAAGGTGACTGATCTACCAAAGACACCTACCAGCATTGGACGTTAGGTACCTTCTGTTGATGCTCTTGATATCTGCCACGGCCTCTGCGGATACATTAGGTACATAGACCCGGACTGTAGCTACGTTCTATCAAGAAGGAACAACTAGCGCCGGTTGGCTCAGTTGGCAGTACAGTCTCGGGTCGTCCAGAGGTTTAGGATACAGGCTTGTCACGCCTGCGACCGGGGTTCGAATCCCCGTCCGAGAGACATTCCTTTTTGTACACGGGACTTAATCTCCTTTACTCTGACTCTTCTAGTATATCGCGAACTGTGGTTCGGCTCTAGAGTGCCGAGTCTAGACTTCGTCATCTTATAAAAGATACCCTCGCTAAGCCTAGGAGGAGAAAGCGCTCGGGTTTGCGAGGTTGCCCACAGTCCATGTCATTCAAACCGCAGTATTGTAAGCCCTGGTTATTAGATACTACCTAAACACCTAGGTATCGATGTTCAAACTGCTTATACGGGATATCTTGAGTGTCATACATGCCCATTTCCACTTCGTACCTGTGCAGTTGACTCGTAGACGGTAGGCCATGAAGTCACAGCGGTCACTGTCGAGTACCGGTATCGTATTTGTTTGCCCCTGGATCTAAGTACCTCTGAGCACCTAAGTACCGAGCGAGAGCGACTACTTGGTCAGGAAACATGAAACCCTATCCATGAACAAGGTTGTTTCCAAAAGCAAGTCATGGAAGGCACCTGGAGACGTTCTTGGGGATGAGATGTCGTTGGAGCCTGGTAGGTAATGGGGAGTGTGGCTAGTGCGTCCTGCTGCGCCACGGCCGTGACGGCATTTTACACGCGCGGATCCCTCGCCCAACGTCGTCACGCTCCAGGCCACCACCGTTTATTGGAACAGTGGCTAAGCTATTTCCACCGACATCTTCATCTTCATCTTCTTTTCTTATTCGCCGAAGCAACGCCCGCGCACAAGTCAAGGCTACGAGACAACCGACTGATACGACTCAAATATTTCCATTCCCGTCCGAATCTACCCGTCTTGCCAGCAGACCCGTCGATCGGGCTTAAGAACGGTCCCCGAGCACAGAGCCTTGGACTCGACACACAAACTTCCTGCGAAGGCACGTCTGGGCGCGCGGCGGCGCAGATACGCTACCATACAATACATAGCATCGATTGACCGCCCCCGAAAATGCCACCTCCACCTCCGCCTCCGCCTCCACCACCTCCGGGCATGGGCGGCCCGCCTCCACCGCCGCCGCCGCCTCCAGGAGGTCTGCCCTCGCGGCCACCGCCGGGTGCTGGTGCTGGACGGGTAAGGCCCCACGCTCCCCTCCCTCCCTCCACCATAGACAAATATCTCTGCTACAGAGAGAGGCTGACCTCGCACGCAGGGCGCGCTGCTCGGCGACATCGCCAAGGGCCGGGCGCTGAAGAAGGCCGTCACGAACGATCGATCCGCACCGATTGTCAGCAAGTCCTCGGGCGGCGGAGGAGGGGGCCCGCCCGTGGGAGGGGCGCCCCCGGTCCCCGGCCTGCCGAAGGCGCCCGCGCCGGGCGGTCTCGCCCCTCCCGTGCCAGGGGGCAACCGAGCGAGGAGCAACAGCGACCAGGGCAGCCGAGACGCCGGCGCGGCGGCCGTGGACTCGGCGCCCCAGCTGGGAGGCCTCTTCGCAGGCGGCATGCCGAAGCTCAAGAAGCGTGGCGGAGGCGTATCGACAGGAGGTGAGCCCCCGCCCATCGACCGCCGGCCCTTTCTGTGAGGGGAGGGAGAGAGGGGACTCTCTCGCTGACTTCTGCCTACAGCAAACCAAAACTCGTCCTACCTTTCCGACCCCGAGTCGTCGTCATCTGCCCCTAAGCCCCCATCCGCGCCGCGGCCGCCGGTGGGAGCCGCACCCGCCATACCGGGGCGAGCTGTGCCCACGCCGCCGTCGGGGGTGCCGTCCGTACCATCTGTGGCCAATCTGCGGAAGACGGCCAGGACCACCCTCCCGCGGCCTCACTCGTCCGCCTCGTTGAAGGGCCCCCCGCCGCCCATTGGCAAGAAGCCGCCCCCGCCGCCAGGCTCGCGGAAGCCCTCCTCGCTGGCGGCCGCTCCGTCGTCTCATGCTCCGCCCGTTCCGGGGGCACCGGCTCCTCCTCCTCCTCCTCCCCCGTCCTCGGCTCCCGCACCACCAGCTCCGCCGCCACCGCCCCCCTCGTCAGCGCCCGCGCCGCCTCCTCCTCCACCGCCTCACCCCCCCGCAACCGCCCCGCGACCGCCCATCGCGCCCTCGCGATCGCAGCCACCACCGCCGCCCCCTCCGCCGCCGGCGCCGTCGACCAGCAACTCGTCCCCGAACATCGCCCTCCAGGCCGCGATGATGCGCGCGGGGGCCAACAACTCGTCGCCGTCCGCCGCGCCTCCCCCGCCACCACCGCCGCCCGCGTCGGCCCCCTCGCCACCTCCCCCCGCACCCAAGGACCCGCCGGGCGGCCGCACGCGCGCCGGCTCCAACCTGCGCTCCGCCCTGCTGGATCCCAGCGCCTACACGCTGGCGCCCGCCAACGGCAGCCATAGCCCGAGCCCCACGCCCTCCTCGGTCACGAGCCCGCGAGGCACCACGCCCGCTCCCCCCGGAGGAGGAGCGCGCTACGTGGTCCAGGACGCCCGATGGCGTTTCGTCGACGACGCCCAGCTGCCCAAGCCCCGGCCCTTCCACGGCGGCGCCCGCCGCTACCGCGCCGGCCGCGGCAGCAGCGTGCCCCTCGACCTCGCCGCCCTGTAGGCCAGGCGCGTCCGCCGCGGCGGCGTCCGCTGCGCCGCCCTCTTCTCGCCGTTTCGCGGCGGCAGGGGCAGCCGGGGCAGCCGGGCGAGCCGGGAGAGCCGGGAGAGCGCAGATGGGACGGACGGGAGGTGGGGAGGGGCCAGGTAGACAGACGGGTGGATAGATAGGTAAGATAGACGGGAAGGGGAGGAGTTTATGTCTTCAAGGAGACGGCAGTTGGTGGCAGGTCGTATTGGGTTTTCCTCTTGCGGAGACGGCAGACAGGACAGATTGTAAGGTCGTCACTGGCAGGAGATGTGGCATACGGGAGAGGAAAAGGGATGGAGATAGGGAGAGGGGAGAGGGGAGAGAAAGAGCTGTGTTGCTGTCATCCCAAAGTAACTTGAAGTCTTGCCGGTAATACTGATAGAACAGCATGGATTAACCGCGCTCTATGGCTGCTGTATGGATGTATTATAGATGCTCGACCAGTATGAGAACACAGCAAGGGTATACGCACTTCCCAGGGCTTCGCTCGATGGCACGCAGGTAGTCTGGCAACGTGAAGAGAAGTCTCAAGCAGCTAGCTTCCTTCCTCAAGTACTCAGTAGGAACCGAATATCACGTCAGGTCCTCAGGGAAGACCCTACCTAAACACACTAAATCACTGAGAAATGCGAAAAGGGTGTGACTGCTACGAGGCGGCCTAGACATCCACGGGGTTTTCATAGGGCGTCATGGCAAAGAAATTGGCATTACTTATCTGACGGGACTGCAAGTATAGCTAGGTAGGTATCTAGCTAATGTCGGCAAGTAAGTTACAGAGGAGCGTACAACAAAGGTGACCAGAGTGGATCGAGCCCAGAGCCGATCCGAGGGTCAAAAGTAGGCAGCTGAAGTAGGTATGAGTGAGTTGGGGTCAGAAGCTTGTCTGAATCCTAGTCCTCGTCCAAAGCCTGGCCCACAAGCGCATTACCAATACTTCCGCATGCTGGGAGAGCCTTCGGCGGAAGCAGAGCCTGGCTCCTGTTGAGCTCGCGATGCTATGCTCACCCGTCTGTGGTGGTCTCGGAGATGGTGAGAGTTGTGCTCTCTCGGAAGTTGCAATCCTGCCTCCACCGCAGCAGGCAAAGGGTGGATCATGGCGTCTTGGAAGTTGTTGCCTCCTCGGCCTACAAAATCCATGTTCTTGACCATATACATCGAAGCCCGGATGAGCTCGTCGAATGCGCCGCTCTGGCGGAATCCCTCAGCCGTCCAGCAAGCTTCGTTGCCGAATTCAAGAATCCGGTTTTCCAGAAGGGCAGAAGAGATTGGGTACGACTGAATTGTGGCCTCATACCAAATGCTTGGTTGGCCGGCCTGTTCGTTGCCGTAAAACTCCACATACATGGAGGTGACGCTATAATCGTCAGAGGACGATAGCCTTGGGGCCCATTCCATGTCCCAGACCTCAGAGACATCAAGAATGTTGTTGGGCTTGGCGTTCGCGTTGTTGACTGACTGAGCTTGTCCGCTGGTGTAAGACGCAATGTTGCGCACGCGTACCAGCTGAATATCGACCTTGTGCCCTTTGTTGATCTTGATTTCCAAACGTGGAATACCGTGAACGTTGTCTCTAGGTGGGCTGGTTGTAGATGTTAGCAAAAAGGACAGCACATGGTGGTAAAAAGGAGACTCACATCACCCGCAGAGAGTCTACTAGAGCCTGGGCGAAGCTGCCACAAACCTCGTCCAAGTTCTGAGATGTAGACAGCAGGATGCAGAAATCCCATTGGTGTTGTATGCAGTTAACCGCAAGCATCTTGGTGTCAGGTAAGGCACGCTTGATGCGATATGAAAAGTCGCAAGCGTTGACCTCGACAGTGAAGCAGAAGGACTGGTCCCCAGTCCCTGCTCGGCAATGGAACTCGTAGACCGAGCGACGAACTCGAGGGACCCAGACCAGCCGTCCCTGGGCGTCTGCCAGGGAGGTAAGACGATTCATGTCTTCTCCATCTGTGCTCAGTATCCGACTGCTTATGATATCTTTCTTCCTGGTGTGCTGCTTGCTGATAGAGTCCTCCATCCTCTTCAGCTCCCAGCGTTTGGACGGCGCACCAGGCTCGTCTGATTGTACGTAAGCGGCGTTGACGTTTGTGAAGCAAAATCTGCCAAGTTCGACCTTCAACTCAACCTGACCAGGATACAAGCGCAGGGGGTGTAACATCTGGACCAGCTTCTCGTTCAACTTGACCACCAAGGGGTCGGTGCTTCTTTGGTAAGCCGCTAAAGGCGCCTGTTGCTGTTGGCGCATGGTTTCATGAAAAGAGCGAGATGCTCTTTCGTCTTGGCTCAGGGGCTGTAGAGCAGGCTGACCTTCAGCGGCAGCTTGTGGTCTTTTGGCTTGCTTTCTGCGGGCCGAATTGCTAAGTTTGGCGGCATTTTCATCTCGGGTACTGGCCCAGATAGCCGCGAAGGGATCGGGGACTGCCACTTGCAGTGATTTGCTCGAG